GGAATTGGCTTCTGGCTTCAAATTACTTTGCTAGAAAGCACTTTGTTCCTATCCACCTAATCAGCATCTGACTTTGCTGCAGTATTCGAACAAACTGAAGATAGATGATATGTGGCCATAGAAAGTGAAAGAACTGCAAAACTTTCAAATAACAATTTAAAAAGTAAACTAAGCATCAGTAATTGCAATTCTTCACTATTTTCCTGAGGCAGGAATTTCCTACCTTGCAGAGTTATTCACTTACAAGAAATTAAGAGATATATGTCAGAATCTACTGCATCTCCCAATTTAAATATTAGGAATGCATGGTTATTATATCGTAAAAAAGTCTTTTTCCATATTTATAAAGCGCACAGCCACAATACAGTTCAAGAGTAACAGCTAGCAGACATTATGCTCCTGGTAGCTTCTCTAATTGCATATGATGCAGCACCACAACTCTGTGAGGAAGAAAGGTATTGTGAAGACCCAACACAGCTTTGGAGAGCCAAGAGCCACGTTCAGGTGACTTACACCCTACCCACGCCCCTGTGCCTGGCACTTATTAAATGTTGACCCCACACCTTCAGATGTTCTTGTCAACAGAAGACATTTCAAGCAGGGACAAAGGTAGAAATTAAACTAAATGGAGCCTGCAGATTTAATTTTTTCTGTCAAGGCTGAGATAACACGCAAGAAGAGCAAATGGTACCTTAAATTTCTTACAGATGTGCTTCAATTTAGTGGAACAGGAAACATGGTCTTTAATAGATGGATTTTTAATATTTGTCAGAAAAAACCCTTTCATCCACCAACATTCGTTTTCAGAAATGCTGCTCTAGCTCTGCTTGCACTGAAGTCATTGGAAACTTCCCCTCAGCATCGCTGCGGCCAGGGACCTTTCATTCTCTAACGGGGAAGGGAGAACACTCAATCCAAGCTGTCGCCAGTCCAGCGAAGAAGTCTTGAAATGTTCAGGAACATGTAATCCAGAAAGCTCAAAATGCAGTGCTCTCAATGTAGCAAATCAGGGTTCTCAGCATCTAGAACAAGTCAGAAAATCTCTGTGGAAACAAGAAAATAGTCTGTTCAAAGTGCTTGACCTCTATTGAGGCTTCTTGTCATCTTGACTTGGTATCTGAACGAATCTAGGACCTGAACACTTTCACATTACGTCTATTAAGAAATCCTGTGTCTTTTTTAATCCTTCAAACAATCCTTTATGGTACCAATTTTCAGTTAGTCACATAAACAAGAATGCCTCTGCACTGCAGATCTCCTGGGTAAGCTTTCCTTAAGGACAAATTGTACTAACCGGGGCATCATCATTCTCTACAGAATCATCGATATTCCTCCTAAATTCCTCCTAAATTATTATTCTGTTACAGCTGCCCTGTGCTGACATCAGGGAACCAAAGATGTTGCTTAGATTTCCATGAAATAATTTCCCTACGCGGCAGGCAACAGAGACTTTATGAATACCCGAGATCAGGAGTTCCTACAGAATTACAAAACCCAGATTGTTTTAGCACGAGGATAACTAAACTTCAAAGGGGAGATTGGGGCAGTAACGGCATAATGCACCTACCTGGAATACTGTCTTCTCCTCACAGAACAGAGGTGGGCATCACCACCACGCAAGCGTAACCACCACTGTGGTTGCTGCATCTCAGGGTGGCCATACTCTACGGTGGAGCATTTGCGCTAATGAAATTTCAAGACACAAACTTTCTGCATCGTGACATTAGTTAGTACAAACAGTCTGTCTCAAAACCATGAAATTGCTTCAGTATTGCTCTCTCAAAATTCAAATGATGACAGAGAAATCCTGACATGCACTCAGACTCCAGGTGAAGGGAATCCAAGGCTGGTTTTACACTTGTAAAATACAGTCCCTCCTCCATTTTTAATCCATTACGTATGTTTTTCAACAGCAAGCTTCAACATATTAAAAAAAAATCGATTTTGATAACATTACTGAAATAAGAAAGCTATTACTTTTGAACATATTATAGCAAATAAATAGCCTACATGAAAAAGCAGTAATTTCACCATAATGTTCTAGTAACATTGAAAATAAACCATCTGGGTTCACTCTCTTGGATTGTGACACGACCCACAATTCTAAAGGAATTAAAACATCATTATGAATAGATGGCTGCATGTTATTTCATGTGTAAATCTAAATGGCTTCAAATGTCTGAAGTACAGTAACACAAATAACGTTCCTTGCCATAATCAAATTGAATCACTCCGTAAGAATGGATCTCTCTGTCGTGAGATTGCATTACCATACAGGAGCCTGCTCCCATGCCTCCAAAGTCTTCTAAATAGCTGGAGCGTAGCTGCGAATGTCACTAGACTCAGTTTCTCTTCCACAAGTCTATGGGTAAGGAGAAGATGAAGCATGTAAAACGCACACATGAGAAAGCAGTTCGTCTAAATCGCACACATAGCGTAAATGGTGGCCGAGGATAGCTTCACCGTTTTCAGAGGATCTACCGTGTGTTCATAAAGGGCATGTAGCTGTACAATGCATTACGTCCCATTGCTTCTTACATATTGTCTTGCATGAAAATGTGCCAAAACAAGTATTAAAAATAGTGTTTCAGTCTATCACTTCCCCAACATAATAATCTGTAAATCTTCTGTACCAAGTGTTTAAAATTACATTCAGCCAAGGTAATATCAAAATATATTTTATTCTGGACCTCTTTCAGATCTGATTCAAATTACAGTTGTCAAAGCAATACAATGCAAAGGGAAACTGCAACAGAAAATGTGCCTAGAAGGGATATAAGGGCCTTGGGGACAAATCATTGTGATGTAGAACCAAAATACATCATAAAGTGTAATTAACATGGTCCAGGACAGTATAGAACATCTATATCAGTCTTCTTCAGACAATAATAATGAAAACTGAACATAAAAGTCCTTTAAACAAGTACAAAAAACTGTCATGGGCTGGTTTACACTTTTACAACAGCTGTAATTTAACTGGATAACTGAAGAAATGATGTAGACATTTTAATCCAGTGCTATAGGTAGGCTCACAGAATTAGACCCAAAGGATTTGTAACTCCAAATGAAACCATTACAACTACAATGTCAATGTCAGGAGAGAGAGAAAATTACTTCTGTATTCTAGAATTACTGTTCTGCACACTGCAGTCTGTTGAGGACAAGATTGCAAAGTACACTCGACTAGCAACAACATGCAGACTGTTTTCTTGTATTTACCCACAAATGTCAAAAAACATCATGAAGTAAAAATGAATGATTATTTAAAGAAGAAAACAAAACAAAAACATGCCTCAAGTTATTGTCAAGCTTCAAACTTAAAGGCAGAGAAAGCGAATTATGTACTCAAAACTACTGATCTGAAGCACTATTAACACTAAATCTGCAATCCGCAAGAAACGGCAGATTTTCCTGGTTCGTCTGCCTTCCATCAGACTGACAGTGAAGACAGCCACACTTTTCACAGAACGTGGTATTCCAGAGCTTTCTCTAGAGGGAGAAGTGAAGACTGCTCCACAGCTCTCTCCCTATGGAAAATGTCAGGGATCTTGATGGAGATTTACTGCTGTCTCCCGAAGCCATATTTGCTTCTAACATGCCACAATGTTGCTTCTGCTTTCTTCAGACTTCTGGAGAGTGTCAAACTGATCCCGCTGGGGAACGGCTCTACAGGACTTTGCGAAGGGAGAAGCTATCATGCTTGTCAATGAAAAAGGAACACTGGGCTAAATCCGGCAGGCCCTGCTCTGGCAAAACCCCCACCGTGGCCAAGGGGAGTCTTGGCTCGAGTGAGACGTGGCTCGTTTTACCCACGCGGCACGCTGCACGCTATCACACAGACCCAACGCCTCCAATGCTTGTTCTGGCAAGGTTTTCTCATGAAGTGACAGACAATGGGATTTCTGGTTAAGTAAAGATTGGAAAAATCGGGTCCCAAGGCTCCTCTTCGCTAAACGGACGAAAAACATACAACCTTTTACTTACAAGCTGAAAAACCCAGTTTGTGATTTTAACGAAATTCCTTCATTCAGCAGAACTAAATGCATTGGCTGCTAAGATTGCTCTGTAGGCAAAGCAGCAGAACCGCCCTATGCCACCTACTATTCTTCCTAAACACAAAGAACATTTCAAAGGTACAACGTCCCATTAAATACCCTAGCATGAGGTAAGCAGTGTAAGGAAAAAGGAGTGCTTTTTCAAATGAAAATTAATTAAAATTGGTAGAAATCTTTGGCCTTTCTCTCAAGATGCATTAAAGTGTCATGAAATCAAGAAACATGCTTCAAAATGCCATGTCATTCTGACTCTGGTAACTATTACCTCCCTCCACCCAACCCAGAAAAAGAGGCACTTTTAGTGTTTCATATAAGATTTCCAATCATCTAGTAGACACGCTAAATAACCCTGCACAATTGTAGTCCCAGAATAAACTGAGTTTATCAACATTACAAAGAGTCTAAAAAAGCTTTTAGGAGGACCTAGATATTTCTCTTAACTACACTAAGAAGTCCACCGGTTGGGAATCTTTACATCAATTTAAAAATGCAGAAAAAGGTAAAGTAAAAATAGAAAAAGAGGAACTCTACAGAAACCTGGACCTAATTATGCAGAAACGAGAAAAGGGATTCTGAGATGGATGCATAGAAAGACAGCGAACTCAACAGCAGTTCATTTCTTATTCCATCATTAATTCTGAGCCCAGTTTTTCCCCTTCCTTTTATCCTCTATTTGGATATTTGCCCATTAACGTGTTGAACTGGAAAATATAGGAACTGTAACGTATGCAAAGGCTTACGCACACGTTTGCCTTTACACTTGGAAAGCAGGCGCAACAGAATTACTCAGTATGTAAGACTAAGCATGTGCATACGGTTATACAAAGTTAGGGTCTTACTGACATTTGGCATACTCAATTTAAAGGAACAATTTGGATAGTCTACCTCACTACTGAATACAAGGTCTTTGTGCTATAAAAGATAATAATTAATGTCATGGTTCTCTTTTTTTTCTTTTTGCTTCACATAATCACAGAACCTAGCACACCTTGCATGCATGCATTTAACAGTGTATAAAACAAGAGGCGAGAAGAGGTGTGAGCAGGAGCAGCACTGTGGCATGCTAGTAAAGGACAACAATAAAATACCTATTGGCCAGATCCTTTGCTAGTGGAGACTGGCATCATTCCACTACAGTGGGGCACTGCTGATTAACACTAGGTTGGGGCTCTCAGCCTGCGCGTCCAGAGCACTCAAGTCAACAGATCTGATGTTCCTGCTAGGCTGTGCTTCAAGCACCTGAAAACCCTGGACCTGTGATACTGAAGCTCTGTTTTATCTATTTCTGAGTATGTGATACTATGCGTAAGCAACTAGAATTACAACCAAAACAGCTGATGATTGAGAAAGAGGAAAATGGCAATACCCTAAAACATGGCTGTGTGATTTTGCAGCTATGTCACAGAATTCCACCACAATTGTTTAGATTGGCTGAAAGAATCATCCAATAACTTTTATGAAAATGAATAAACTGTCCATATTAAAATACAAAAGTACTATCAAGAATCACTTCTGACTTTCAGATTTAAATTCAGTGCAATTGACAAATGCATTGCTAAACGAAAAATGCAGCTTAAACATACTCAAAACATTTGTGTCTATTCCTGGGAGCACAGTTTAAAATTATTGCACAGAATTTTTTTTATTTTTTTATTTTTTTTGTTTTTTTCTTTTTTTTCATTAAATGACAGAGGTCAGCCACAGTCATGGACCTCCAGCAATAAAAGCGATATTTCAAGTGCCAGACACTCAATATATTAGGTTTCCTACATATTGTAGCTCACAGGGTAATTGCTCTAAACATTTGTAATATGTTCCAAAATCCTAATAATAGCTGGCACCGAACCACTGCAGATGACTGCCTTTATGGATATGACTTTTTGTTGGTTTTAAACGCTGTGGATGATAGTATTATAATGCTGGGGTATATATAAAGAATGTATTGTTGACTTCTCTTTACCACTGGCAAATTGCTACCCTACCTTAGCCAAACTCAGACTTGCTTCAAGTCGTGTTTATTCCATGGAAATAGCAGAAATCAATGCCTAAAGAACAATGGTTAAAATGTCAAAGCTGCATTATCTCAATTAAATCAATTTATACCTAACTTGGAGGGGAAAAAAACCCAAAACAAAACAAAACAAAAGGTTAGAGACTAGCAATCATAAGCCACAAAATTATTTGTGATTGAAATAGTGTTATAAAACTGGTCACTTTGCAAAGCTCTGTAATATAAACCATTCCTTAAGTAAAATGCCTGTGACATAAATTTGACAATGTCTCTTTTTATAAATTTACACTCTTGGAATCTTATGCAAGACATGATGCAACCTTTTCGACTACACATACGCGTAAACATAACCTCATGCTATCATTTACAAATAAAATCACTATCAGTATACTTTTAATCACATGAGCAGAAAAAGGTTTGCCATATACATCTGTCATTGTAAGAAAAATACTTGATATTGTAAACAGAGTAAAAGACACTATATAGTAGTGATTATTAAAAAAATAGCAGCTTACATCTACCCTATATTTGGAAAAAAATGTAGTCACAAGATACAATAAACTGCAGGACTGGAGCAGCAGGGGAATTAGTGCAAGTATTCATCTTTTAAATAAGCTGAATCACTGCTATTAAAATAAACTTGAAGCAAGTCCTCTGTTTAAGATCTTTTTTTAAATCTAAGGTAGTAAACATTTTGCCTCTTAATGGCAGTGTTATCAAATATATGCCAAAGATTTTATTTTAATAAAGAAAAATTACATGAGATACTTTTAATACTGGAGTTTGGTTACAGTTACACATCTAAGCTCCTACAAATAATGATGGGCAACTCTCAGAGAAGCTGTGGCATGAACCCTTGTCCAGAAAGATCTTAACCTCTTAAAAATGATCCCCCAGCTATACTTTGCTCCTTTTCACAATAGTGCACAATTTAACCATATTTTAGTTATGGTCTTAAAGCAACAGAAGATGCATTTTGTCCTCCTTTTTTTGCCTTTTTTTTTTTTTTTTTTTTTTGCATCCCTGTATTTTTGTGCCCTTCTATTCTTAAGTTTGGCAGAATTATGTCCCAAATAAGAAACTACTGCATTTTAGCCATGTCACCAGAAAATAAAACATAGCATTATACCCATTCCTGTCATACTTCGTAGATGAGCAGGACGTGAAATATCACGCTTCGAAGAAGGATTTTTTTTTTTCTTCTCTCTCCATAATCCCTTTTCCACTCTCCCTCTGTTCACAAAATTGTGCTCTGGGAGCCACAAAATGTACCAAACATTATCAGGTTCAATCTACCTCTTCAAAGAATGCATTAAAATATGTTTCAAAGAAACATTTTTTTCCAAGGTGAAAAAAAAAAATATAAACAAGAAGCTAATTCACTCCCTTACTTCATGCATCCGTAAACTTAACCAAAACAAAACAGAAAACCCAATGTTTAAAAGCAAAGAAAAAACTACTGCTGCAGATTTCTGTAAGTCCATTTTCTCTGTACACACAAAACTGCTCAACTACTGAGAAGGAAAACAAAAATACCCCACAATCCATTGTCATAATGGATTTAAAGGGGGGAAGGGGTAATGAAGGCTGCCATTAGTATCTTCTGCATTTGGTATGTATATGGGTCTGCTCTTGTATACGGTATATTTCTCTCTCTCTCGCTCTCTCTTCCGGTTTTCATATCCAAAACCTTTCAATGTTATTTTGGGGCACAGCAGATTCCAGCACTTGGTGAACAGGATTCACAAGCTGTGACAAAACTCTGTCATCCTCTTCAGGGTGTAATTTTTCTTTCTTTTTTTTTTTTTTTTTTTTTATATACAGTATATGTATATATTTATTTTACGTTTGGCTGTAGTGGACTGGCCATGGTTCAATTGGGACTATAGCAGTACATGGGTCAGGGACAGTCATTTTGGCTATGTACACATTCATAGTCGGTCCATGGCTTCCAACTAGTAGCGCTATTTCCGTAGGTCTAATACACAAACCTGTAAGAAAAAGAAATATATAGAGAAATTGCTCATTGCACAATATTCCACATTTATACAATTCTGTGTGAAATACCTGAGCAAAACCTATGAAACTGACTGTGCAAACTTCACCTTCTATCTCCTAACAACAGATTGGGGGCCAGGGGGGAATCACTAGGTGAGCGCTTTGGTTATGAGTACGCAGCCAGACCTGCTAAGGGTAATTACTATCAGAACATTAACAACTAGTTAATGTTCTAGTTCTGTCAAATATAGAAATCTACTAGTAAAATAGAATCATGTAAAAGCCATGTTTTTAGCCAAACAGTTCAAATATGCCTCTGTTTACTTAGTTATTATAAGCTATAAGTACCTTTAAACAAGAGGGGATGAGGAGGGCTTTCGCTAGCAAACAATATAAAACAAAATAAATCCAACATTTTTAAAAGAGCAAAACCTAAGTGAAAACCAATCTGTTGCAAGTACAATCAGCCTCTTGGGTCAAATTAACTGGAAGACTGGAAAGGTTACACAGTATGTATATGTGACCTTTGGTCATCTAGGGTGGAATGATAATGAATTTCTACTCAGGATATGCCTTGAGCTTTTGCTCCTTTTATGATATTGTCTATACTTATAAGACTAAATTGATATGAAAGAGCAATCAAAATTAATTCTCTGAATTTAGGCCACTTAAAATTCAGAAGTTCCTGTTTTCTGTTCTGAAGACTAACAAAGCGATCTCAGTCACCAGCATGGAGCATGCAGGACGGGAGAACGCTTTGGCCGTGTTAAGATACTACCTGAGACTTTGGACTACCAGGACTGCTTTTTGCTGACGTTTCTTACTTTAAGCTACAGCACTTCAAAATACAGTCCCTTTATCACTCTTATCTTATTCTAATTTTGCTTTTCCATAGGCTCTCTTCTCCTTTCTTTTAAGACCATGGCAAAAGACAGGCGAGCAAAAACCAGCTATTGTACTTGTTATGAAGAACTGCATGTTAATATTTTACTGCAGTACTTTGCAGGACAATGTCAGAAGACCTAGGAGGTGATGCTACAATACACCACTACGAGGTGATAGAGGGTGCATTCATGATTAATCATATGATTTTATTCTCTGCTTCTTCTAAGCAATGGAAGCAGACTGGTTTTTATGTACAGCTCCTGTCTGGTATTTACCTGTAGCTCCTGTCATTTTTAGGAACTTTTAAATTATGAGTATTCAGAAATTTGTACTTTGTTCTGCTGCTCTTTCTGTTGAATGCAACGCAGAAGATATTTCGTTCCTATCATGCATTACAATACCATCACCTACACTGAACATTTTCACTCTAAAAGGGCAAAGAGGCAAAAATGAACTTGTTTTCAGACTATAATGAAAAGACCAGCCACAATGAACACAATTCCATGGTAAGCCCCAATAGGGACAGAAAATTTAAATTAGAGGCATCTTCACCTCCTGAGATTTTTGGAGGATTTAGAACAGTAATGCATTAAGCTGGAATACATATTCTCCTTTCAACATTACAGCACCCTTATATGCTAAAATCTACATGCGAGCTGGCTGTATTAAACTTCAGCTACAGAAGGAAACTTTGTCTCCATTGTTACTTAAAAGATTTCCAAAAGATGCTTGTTTTTAGAATGTCAAACCAGTCAAGCTGCACTTACTGAACCATCTGAAGCACTTGCTCCAACTTTGTCTCCTGCTGCATTCCAGCAAACCTCAAAAATCCCTCCTGTTCCCCGATAACTGTGAACTAGGGCACCTGTCTAAAAAGGGACAAAACATGTAATTAATATAACAAAAACCAAGCAAACAAGTAAAATTTGTACAACATGTAAAACTTCCCCACTGCTTTTAAAAGTTGAAATTCTCAGAGGAAATGGTCCAGATGAAACTCGTGGACAATCTCAGCACTGTGTTAAAGGATGTGACAAACACAATTATCTCATCTTGAGCTCTCGTGTTTGACAGGCAAAACTGGGGATGGTCATGACAACTTCCAGTTACTGAAGTGAGCCTTTCAAAAATTAATATCCAATTCTCAGTAGCCAGAGATCACATCTTGCCTAATAACAAGGACTTTAGACTTTCATTCTCAGTCAGCCCTTTTTTTTTTTGCCAGAAATACAAATCAAGTAATAGTGTCTTTCTTCAAAAGTTCTGTAGAAACATTTTGTCGTCATTGTCTTCTCTCACTTTACATTCTCTTGTTTTTCAGTGAAATTCAATGAAACAGCGATCAGATTTGTCTGTCTATATCCAGCCATCATTTTTCACAGCAAACCTGTTTTATCAGGAGTCTAAAGTTCAGAGTTAACAAAAACCATTTTTGGATGCAACATGTTATTGGAGACACTCTGTTGAATACATTTTGTTGTTAGTGGTGGGTGTTTTTTTTTGGTGTTTCGGGTTTTTTGGTGGGGTTTTTTTTCCCCCCTAAGTAAAGACAATGTAAAGACAATTATTATTTCACCATAGGCGAGCACCCAAAGAGAGAAATTAAATGTACATCCATTAACAGAAGTAACCTTAGAACAGAGAGAAAGTGAATCGGCATGCTAGCAAGGGCAGAGCTCTTTGTGGCTGAAACACAATGAAGCAACAAAGGTTGGAAGGGTGCTGATGGAAAAGACCAAAACACAAACTTCTAAACAGACAGAAGAGCTATACCTGTGTATTCCAGATGTGTACACATTTATCAAAGGAGCCGCTGGCCAGGTACCTGCCATCAGGACTGAAAGCTACACTGTACACAGGTTCTTGATGTTTTGTCAAAGTATGAATACAAATTCCTCTGTCTACATCCCATAACCTAACAGTAGAATCAAAGGATGCACTGTGAAGGGAAAAAACACAGATTAATTACACCTCAGTTGGACATATTTTTGTTTCTAATATAAACACAATACGATAAAGGATCCTACATGCTTCAAAACATTCTGTGAAGCTATTTATATATAGAGTGAAGTAAAAATAATGCTGAACAGGCATTTAAAAACAGGATTAAATAGTACCTTGCTAACATAAGATTGGCATTTGGATTATTTGTTCCTGGTCCTGTAGGACTCCATTTGATAGTATAAATTTCTTTGTTGTGTGCTTGTAAATCATGGACACAACTGTCTTGTTTCATACTCCAGATCTATGATAAAAACAAAAGAAAACACAAACACATTTAGCACAATGTTGTACTAAAATGCATTGTACATCTTTCTTCTTTATTATTTGCAGCCTGACTGCTACCTTTTAGGCCACATTTGCTATGACTGCTGAGTTTCTAGAGTAATTATGACAAGTATTATTCCAGTACCCTCCATTCTTTGAGTTATAAGTACCCGATGGGGTTAATGAGTAATAAAGGTACTGCCTATAAAAACCAATCTGCATGTGCAAACTACAAGCCCCTTGAAAAGTGGAGGGTTGATAACAGATGCTAAAATGAGAAGAGCAATATGTATATGTTCATATCTGAGGTGACAAAAATACCACAGTCCTATTTTTAACTGAACTTCTTGCTACACAGATTGAGTGAAATACAGGGATAGTAGAGAAATTTTTCTGTTTTCATACAAAGCCATAGATGCATACTGCAAAAAACCATTATGGCATTTTCCTGGCTTATTAGGATTTGCATTGCCAGGTGTTTGTTCAGTACTTCCTAAAAAAGAGGAGTTCCTTAGGACTGCAATTCCTGCATGATAACCTTCAAACAACAAAGTAACTTTCTTCTGTTTGCACTGCATATAGTAGGGGTTTTGGAAGGCTTTTATACCATTTCCTAAATGTGAAACTTGATATAGTAGTTAATCATTTGAATACTTTTTTTTTTTTTTTAAATGATATCTGCTTTAGCAGTGCTTTTAGCTCACCTCTTGGCAGAAAAAGGTAACAGCAGCACATTTAAGCTCAACTGTATTTAAGATGCAATTGAGGTGTATGTTTAAATGAATGATGCTTTTCAGGACTGGTGCCTCACTGAAGGGGAAACTGATTTTCATGGTGCAGGCAGAATTAAAATTGTATTTCCAGTTTAAATTGATGGGATCAAAATCTAGCTTTTCTTCCCAAAACTAGTATAGATGAAAAGAGTCTATATTAGCTGCCCTAGAGTATAGCAAGTTGGCCTCACAGGAGAAAAAAAAAAAAAAATCAATCAATTAATCAATAGGCATCTTCCATATGCTTCAAAACCTGACATTCATTCCTAGTGCCATTGAAAAGTAAGTGATCCACAAGTGATTAGGGATGTGTAGACTTATCTATAAGCAATTGGTCTTCCAGTTATTCCTGAACAAAATGATAAAATTCTTTCCAGGCTGGGCTGAATTTTCAAAACAGCAACCAAGAAGTTAATTGCCTGAATTGCCTGAGCCCACAAATGGTGACATGTTCCCAGTTGTCACCTCTCTACTCACTGAGATGCAGCAGCAGCAGCTTGAGATCTAGATTGGAATTAATCTCACCTGAGTTTCAGCTGTCTAAGTAGTAAATATTTAGCTTAAGCTGGCTATTTTGACTCCAATGCCAATGGAGAACGACTGATGCTCTCAGGGGTTTACTCATCCTGCTTGACTTAAACATTTAACTCAGGAAAGGATGAATTGCTCCTCAGTGGTGCTAGACACTCTGTTGACCAAAGATGTCTAGACATCTAGCTTTAGACTGGAGGTTTAATGCTTAAATGTTTATATTTAGATAAGGCGATTTCCATTGCAAGTGCCTGACTGTGTGCCAGCACAGGAGGGGATATCTGGCTACTCATTCAGCCGATCCCTGTCTCTGATTAAACAATGGTGAGCTAGATGGAAATAACTGTCCCAAGAGCTACTAGTAGGACAGCACTGTCAACATAAACAAACATATCCTGAAACTCCACTAAACATAGTGCTAAACACCTACCAAATATAAAGCAGTATGGGAGTAATGGAAAAGCATCTGTAACATGGAAACAGCACAGGCCTGTCAGGCATGAACAACCTCATTTCTTCTAGTGCATCTAACCTGGTGGTATTTTTGTACGGATCTCTAGTGCGCCTTGAAGTGATATGTATAAGTTACAGTATCCCCTGCATTCACAAGTTTGCCTCAGTTCTACAAGAAAGCATGTTGCTATGAATTATTTGGAGGAAAATTGTAGGTGCAATTGAAAACTGTAGAACGACTCCTGATGAATTGGAAAAACCAAGGAGTCCACACAGTCTCTTAGGAAACAATATGCCAAAGGTTTTAACTAGAAAGAAGGGGAAAACAGAAGAAAACTGGGAAAGGAGCTAGTTACCCATTCTTGTATGTGTTACACGACATGCATTCCAACTCTTCCTTTTAACCAAAAGGAACCATCAAGTGTGACAGCTTAATGATTAATGACCTGCTTCTGCAAACAGCTAAAAGCACCTAATAAATCATGCTCCAAGTCTCAGGGTGGCAGCCTGTAACAAGTTCTCTAGACCAAAGCTTGGCTCTGATTAACAAAGATTTGCTAGCACTGCCTAATCTTGTTATATTAAAAAAGAACAAATATTAGATGACACAGCAAGTACAGTGATACTGCTGGATTGTCCGATCTAACGGTGTGCGTTCCAGAGTCCTACAAAGAGCCAGTACCAGAACTCCCGTTACCTTCAGAGTCATATCATCAGAGCAGGATGCCAGAAGATTACCAGTTGGATCCCATTTGATTGCGTTTACTTCATTCTAAAATTGAACAGGAAGATTAAGTTGGAGTCTTCACTTCCATTACAAATGACAGCTTACGAACGATAAGCTGGACAGCAGTTATGATTATTTGTATAATTGTCAGTATTTTAACATTTAATTTTCATTCCTAGCTTTGCCTTCAATAACAACATTTTGCTACCTGTTCATCACATTTTCCCATGCATGCTCTTACACAACATAGCCTGTGCACAGCCAAGTCTTAAAGTCACCACGTTTCTTCTTCTAAAGCTTACTTTTGCTATGCCATCCTGGCACCAGTAAAAAAAGCTGCACATGGGAGTGAGAATTGTTCTAAAAATGATAGAGACTACAGTTACCATATGACCTTAACTACAGCTACCTGCATATGTATATTTATTGCCTGTTGCCAAAGACCAGCCATTGCACGCGTGCTGTATACCGGCAAGTATACTGGGCCCCCAGTCTCTCACTAATAAAAATATCGTACAGCAACCCCCAATTTTCCAGTACTTACTGTGTGACCCTGGAAGGTTTTGATGGGCCTATCTTGTCCTAGTTTACAGACATGAATACACATGTCTGTACTGCAAGAGGCAAATGTGTTGTTACTCTGCCAATCAACATCTAATGCTGGTGCTAAAAGAAAAAGGAAGATACTTAAAACTATGGTATGTATTCTGCAGGAGTGCTATTTGCAAATTTAGCATGCACCACCTTAGAACAAATGCCAACAGGAAGCAACCATTAATTTTACAGCAGTTCTAAAGATAATCAAACACTATGAACAGTGAGAAATGCAGCCCAAACTAGCCTTACACAAAGAAATGAAACAAAATTCAATAGAAGTCATTAAAACATGGAATGTATCTGAAATGGAACAGTTATACAGAATAGCAGCAGGACAACAAGCTGTAGTTAAGTCATCTATAAATAAAACTCGAGTCAGCACAAGGAATAGGTTCCCACAACTTAACACATCATCATGCATGAGCTCATCTCCACTAACAGTCCATGCTTGTGCTGATAGATGGCAGCCAGTGCAAGGTAATGATTTATTTCCTTTCTTTAATTCCAGCATTATCAGGTGTGGCAACTTGAAGCTTAATCATGGGTGACATATTCCATTTGATCAAGCCAAGATATTTATGGCAGATAGCACACAGAATTGCTTGGAGTAAATCAAGAATTGATGTTTTTGATTGTTGTCATGCCACTGAAAACGTAGTGCGAGCAGAATAAAAAGTGGAAATGAGACACATTTCTTAAAGGCCCTTCAATGACATGTTCGTCATCTTCTCTATTCTATTTTCCAGCTGATTCTGGCAGGCTTGCACAGCATGCAGCCCACAAAGCAATTTGTCTGACCTCCTGAGAGGCTGCACTCTCATCCCAGCTGGCCAGTGAACAGCCTTTCAGCTGGTTTGTGGCCAAACAAATTGGGGACAGCACAGCAGGCAGCGCAGAACAATGGGATGCGGAGCTGGGATTACTGTAGCAGGAAGATGACAAATGCAGTCCTTAGCTGATAAACACAAATCCTTCATGGCCCACCCACTTGATTTGTCTGCCACTGTACTACAGAAAGTCAGTAATATTTGGATTATCTCTTATGACTTTCATAGAACTGCAATGAAATTGTGAGTTATAAAGTCGTAAAATCAGAACAATTCTATCTTTGTTTACATACTCAAAATTAATAAGACTACAAATATGAGAGTCAGTATCCAAAGACTGCCTGCAAGATTTTAAAATGGCATAAATAAGTACCATAAACTTCTGATTTTTTTTTTAATTTATTTTAACAAATTACACTTTTTTTGTCTTTTTAGATGACAATCCTGAATGATCAAAAATCAAGACTTACCAGAATGAAAAGGAAACTGTTGCTTGGCTTCACCAGTGTGGGCATCCCAAATAATTGTGGTCTGTATTAAACAGATAAACAAACAATAAACAAACTTGTATAAATTGCTAATTTCCCGACAGCTACCACCATTCACCTGTATCAGACTAGCTAGCCTACTCCCCATCACCCAAACCTGCTCCCAATTACGTATTTCTGGTGTTTTACCCAGTACTAAAGGAAATGGTAGTAGATGTAGAGACAACAGTAGAATACCTTAGTATGTTGCAATATTAGAAAGGTATTTAATCACAACATTTTGGGGTCTGAAGGGAAGAAGGGGGTCGTGGGCTTTTTCTTTTTAAAAATAAATAAAAATTAAATAATTTTATCTCCTTAGTCCTATTTATATTCTTGTAATCCACTCCACACACCTATTTTAATTTCAAATACTTGTATATTCAAATTGTAATTTCAAATACTCATTTGTCCCTAAGGAGATCTTTATATAAACAATTAGTCTCATACTTAAGAATCTGAAAGATTTAAGGGTGTAATTTTGTTCTGAGTTGTTCTCTGCCAATACTTCTGATATCCTTCTGGTGAAATAAATCTTACCTGCCAAAATTAGTATTTTATAATCACCTTATTATATGCCAATATTCCTGACCTACCTCAATGATCAATGAAAATTCTGACACCTAATTCAGTGGGAGCATGAACTGACCACACAAATTATTTATGGAAAAGGAGGACAAGATTGGGTCAATCCTTCTGCTAATGCAGATATTTTTCAAAGCATAACTTCAATTGCTTTGTCAAGGAATTTTATTGACTGAAATGAGGCTTCTATCTCCTCCAGAATATTTTTCTGCAAATTGAAGCTGTACCTCCACAAACATTCAAAAACTGGCATAAGCTATCACAGCTGCCAAAAGAAGAAACCCATCCTTTCCATGCTTTGAGACATTTACTTTTTGTTCCTTTGTGCCAGCACAAGCATTTATAAAGCTGGGCACTAGAGCAAACCAGGAAAAAAATAATAAATAAGGGAGAAAATCTACTAGTTTTTAGTGACACTGCCAGTTTTAAGTACTGCGAACCTGCAGTCTTACTGAGCTTGGCAGTTTGCCAGTCTCGCTAAGAGAAAGCCCGTGTTTACTTCTGCACCTTGAATTAGTTAGAGGAAATATTAAACTCTTCTTACTCTTTTAATAGTCTATTCTATTCTCTGAATTAGTCTTAAGTCCATTCTTCATCACTATGCACTCTTCCTACCATTCATAAAATCTCTCACGCTAACAGCAGCTTTGAATTTAAAGACCTTGTGAGTCTTTAAGTTTGTTTAGAGATGTGAAATAAAACACAGTTAAACAATGAGCTTCATGGCATTACACTACTGGCACCTCCCCAGTCAGATATATTGACTTTTCTTATGTCCCAGCTCTAACCTTTTTAATCATTCTCAGGCTTGACTGATATCCAAATCGGCCTGAACCTATTCCTCCAATATGATTTTTTTTCTGAGGTTTTGCATACAGTGCTTCATAAAATTTTTAGATGATTCAGTTTTACTGTTCCTCCGTTCAATGCACTTACTTTCCAACTTATGCTAACCTAATTGGTAAGAGATCCAGGGACACTGAAAACTAATAAATTAAAATATCTCAATAAACTACCATAAAACACAAGGAAACATAGCTAGCATAACAAGTTCTTTGAAAGTACATATTTACGTCCCATGCCTTTAGTTTAATTTACTTACTTTCTATAGCTTTGCTATTATGCTTACAATTAGATTATAACGGTGAAGGAAAGAATTTTAATTTTACCAAAGATTATCTCACCTTGTCCACTCCTGCACTTAAAATGAAGTTTCCTTTCTTGTTCCATTTTAACGCAAATATAGGACCTTTATGTTGCCCTAAGGTGCTGGCAAGATTACCTGAAAATTTATATTGATATGAATACATTAAAAAAATAAAAAACTATGCTGCGAGCCACAATACAGGAAAATATACTGGAAATTAGAAGTATTTTACTTACCATCTTTAGTCCATATCCTTGCAAAGCCATCGTAAGACCCAGTTGCCAGAAGTGTACCTTCACTCTGCCAGTAAAAAGGTTATTTTATTTATTTATTTTTACTGTATAACGCAAAGCTAAAGAGCACAAAGCAAATTTCAGGTAGAATACATCTGCACAAGATTTATGATATTTATTCCATTGACTACAACTTATTAAAAAGAAGACCCTGAAGTACAATGCAAGAAATTACAATGCAACTCAAAACCAGAAATATTTAAGGAGCCGTAGCAGAGGATGCACAATTGCTGTCACTTAAAATTTGACTATGCAAAATTATAGGTGCAATTTTCTTGGGAATATTTTGAGCACTGCCATTTCTACTTACGTTCCAATCCAGCGATGTCACATCTTTGTTGCTGGGTACATCCTGCCCTCCTTCTCGTATACAGTGTCGAAGTACCAGCTGCGTAGAGCCACTCGTGCTGTTTTCACTGAGGTTCCATATCCGTGCTGTCGAATCTCCAGATCTACAAAACAGTTAATGAGAATGTAACCCCTTCTCCCGATTAATTCCATTTAAAATAGTATTCCTTTCGAAACAGCAAACGTTGTGGCATTTGATGTAGAGGATGTTAGGGCAGATATTATTTTAACTTGTTACCATCAACATACAGAAGTATGCCAATGAGCATTGATATTGTGTACATACACGGTCAATGCACATACCCTGAGGCCAAAAGGTCACTAATGGGATTCCAGGCACAGATGAAGACTTCAGATTCGTGGCCACGCAGCACCACTGCCTTGTTGGGAGGGATTTCAACATCTCCATCTACTTCCATCATATCTGTGTGATTATCTGCATTATGGGAAACAACAGTAGAGAGAGGTGGATTTTAATATTTTGGGACAATACGCTGTAACTACTGTATAGTTCATATTCTTCTGGGATGAGCATAACAACTAATTCACAATTTATGTGGATCAAAATTTGCAAAGCTGTAATGTTCCTTTATTTTTCCAGTTCCCATTTATCAAGTACTATAAACAGATGGGGAGTTTCAAAAAACCTGAGAAAGCTCTTAGCCCTTCTAAACCTCAGCATCCAAATGCATTTAATTGTGAAACTTCAAAATTGAAGCCAAACGTTAATTTTTTACTATGTTAAAAAATAAATGCTGATGTTAAAAGCACTCACAGTTTTTCAGGTACAATACTGCATAGTACAATATGTTACTACTCTGTCTTGTGCTTTAAGAATACATTTATGACACATTCATTTTCAAAAATCTCTCTTTTCACCAATTGCAGTCAAACAGGTTTTAAATCTACATCTCAGACACTTCATTTACAAAATGGCTTTAATTAATATAATAACATTTGGTGATACAGTAAACTGATAATAGAGCTTTTTAAACTGCATCGGCAATTACTGTGGAATTGTGGCAATACATAGCTTTCTGCGTGGTAGTGATGTTGAATCCATATTGTTCTGTAAAACATACTGGGGGCAATTCAACTGACAAAACAGTTTTCTTGGCAGCTACCATCAATCATTTTCTATTATTAAAAACAAATTCACACTGACTGTAAATGCAGAACATAAAAAATGCCGAACAGTTCACCTGCTCCGTATTTATTCACTGCGGTTAAACAAACTGTTTCACATCTATTGCTTAATTTAGCATTAAGGGTTTCTGTCACTGTTTGTATGTGTGAGAAAACAGAAAAGGCTATTAGAACATGCATATTTTTAAGAAAGAGCACCATATAAAACATTGCTTCAATTAAAGAGAATCAATGCCAGTATAATTTGGTGTACCAGCCAGTAGGGGCTGCTGGTATATCACATTTAACAGTGGCTGAGATCTGAAGTTTCTGCTTACTCTATCCAGTTCACAGTTAAAAAGTAAATACTCTTTTGAGATTCTTAAATGAAAGCATCAAAGTAGAGAGCTTATTTGTTTAAGCCAAAGATTATATTTCCAGTTTATTCATCATACATAATAATGAAAAAACCTAGTAAAATCCAGCTGTAAAATGCAAAACTGGTACATGGCTTGATATGAATATTCTCTCAATATTTTCTTTTCTTTAGGTGCTTTTACAGCAAGAGCTACAACTCCCCCTCTCAGATGCATAATTCAGACTTCCAGAACAATATTTTCAAAATAACATTTTAATGCCTGACCTGAACTTTTCTATACTAAGCCTGATTGTAAGGTATGTTCCTTTGACCAGTGATGACAAATAAAACACTTGTTTCACCAGTCACAACTAAAATGCAACCAATTAATAAACCAAACCTGCAAGCAGTTGCATCGAATAATTCTGAACAGCAAATCATGAAAACTGATACTGATAAAGGAGACAAATGACACAGGATTTGTCTCAGCAACAGTGATTATCTCAGCATGACAAGGAAGTCTGTCCTACAGAGCGCCGGTTACAGCTCTCCGGTTCATGAGGTTAGCAGAACCTGTCAAAAGTAGTTTGCAGAGCTTCCCAAGCAATGCTCACTTTTACCCAGCTGTGGATTAGCAGACTCCTCTCCCTATTCCTTGTACAGGGCCCAAAGCTGAGGAGGTGCAATATTTAAAGAGTTGTCTCTGGGTTTTTTTTTCTGGTCTTTCATCTTTATGCAAGAGCTCTCAGAGGGTCCTGTGAAAAACCTTCAGATGGTGGGAAAGGAACAGAACTGGAAGTGAGACGGGTCAATGGAATATTGCGAATTAATGAATTCAGAAGTTTGCGTCTCCTCCTGCAATTCCAAATATTAAACTGGGGACAGTCAAAGGTGAGACACCATCTGTCAAAGTATCACCTATGACAAAGGTATTCTCTGCCAGCCTAAGGGTTACTAGTACCTCTACACATTTACCTCACTGTCTGCTAGCTCATACTATGAGCTTGTGCTCTGATAAATGACAAGGAAGTGGCATTAACATAGGTTAAGGTCATTTCTGTCTCAACTTACTTGCTATAGTATGTGCTCCATTTTCTTCTCCATTTGCAGTATTTTCTCCATTTTTCGCTGATCCCTGTTGGTTAGTTGCGGCTGCAGCTGCAGCAGCTGCTGCCTGCTGTTGTGCAAGTTTATCTCTGTAGGCCTGTTGTCTTGTCTGTACCACATCGGGCATTACTGCATCTATCAGTGAGAGAGACTCTATCGGCCTACCATCAAACAAGGTACCATCCTAAATTACAGCAGAGGGAGAAAGAAAAAAAAAAAAAAAAGACAACACCAAGTACAAATTAACATTATGGGAAAAAAATCCAAGGAAAACTAAAGCAAAAGTTTTGATTTAATATAATAAAGCAGTTTACAAATGGTGCTGGAAGTGATATCTCATTATTGTTGCAGTTAGGATTGGAATTTTAGTCTAAAGTTAAGTGGCCACCATAAATACGCAAAAAAAGCCACCGCAGGCCTCTGGCAGAGCTTCTGGAATCAAAACTTTTACGCCTTGAGTTTGCAAAATCATCTGCTAAAGCAAAAAATACTGTAAGCTATCTATGAATATGATTTCAAACATGAGTGGCTGCAACAAAATCTAATGGTTTGTTTGAAGAGCTGCAAACATTGCAAGTCGGGTCACTGGCTTGTGAAGTTATTCTATCTTATTAGACTAATACTTTCCATAAACATTATCTGGAGAGTTGACTAGTTTTCTTCCTTTTTTTAAACAGTGCTGGCATGCTTTCAAACAATAAGGAAGAATTTTATCCTGAAATGGACAAGACCCAGTTAAAAATACCCTTATACATATGCTAGGGCTTTGTCAGGATCTATTTTTAGGAGCTAGAAGGATTCCTTGTGATAAATATAGGGTCTCCTTCTTCTATTCCAACCACTTGCTTTATTTTTCTGAGGCTTCCTAAGGGAAAAGATTTGCTACACTGGGACTATGAAAGCTACATGTAAACAGAAGATGTAAGGGAGACTGGAAAGTGAGCAGAATTAGTGAAAAAACCCATTTCCTTCTGTAATATAACTGACATATACAAAGACTGCTAACCTTCCAGGCATAAATGAGAATGGAAAGTGAGGGTGAGTATCTACAGCATCAGGCAGGAAGACACATAGCTTTCTGTACTGCTGGAATAACCATTTAAACACCAAATTTAATAGATCCTGCTCAAGATGAATTAGCCAGCAGAGGCAGAGAGCAAACTGGCATATACCTCCATCCTTCCTGCCACAAATTGAAACCCTCTCTCTATTTGGAAAGCTTGCCTTTGGGCTCTCATTACTTCATTATAACGACACATCACCCAAATGAGAGCTGCACAGCGCTCTCCCACCTCCCTAGTGCGAGTCTACGAAAATAAAAATTAAGAGGTTACTTGTCTCAATTAATATTGCACTTGTCTGGATTCACAACATTATATTAGGGTAAAAACTCTACAGACAACGGACCTTTAAGCCATGAGCCAGAACACCATGCCTGGTGTTGAGTGGCTGCACTGGGCAGAACCCCTACCCAGTTATGTCACTCCATTCTGGTTCCACCACTGGAGTCATGGTGAACACCAGCAGTAAGGAATCTGAAGTAAAAGTAGATAAATAGGATACAAGAAAGTTAAGAAAAAATACTACCATTTAAATGTACTGCAAGCAAGGACATAATGCTCCTGTAGGCAAAGCCTCCTTACCTCGTTAATACTGACTTCTGCCTCTACATACTGCAGGCCTTTCTGGATGATGGAAATCAAAGCAGCTGGTGGCACCAGAGCACCATTTATATTAGACTGGCTGATATGGCTCTCTATACCAAAGGTAAATGCTGAATGGGAAAACCCTAGAGACAAGGCAAAAAAATCAGAATTGATTTACAGACAGACAATGCTACTTGCCATACTGCTGTAGGATCTTCTGTTTACAAATCTAAGCAAATTATACAACATGATAGCACGCTTATGAACTAAAAAAAAACCTCATCAAAACAGCTGTTTCCCTCTTATATGTTTCTAGTTTAAGTGTACTTTTTTTGTCTTTTTAGACAAAAACTAAGTTTAGATAAAAACACAGCAATTATTAATTATCGTATCATTGAGAAAACATTTCTGCATGAATAAATAGAAAAATATAAAATAAGTATGTATCTCCAAGACACCAAGACTCACTTGTTGTTTTTACTCACTGATTTGTTACCCATGAAAGTGAAATGGATCTGTAGGTAGAACAGAATTCAATTCATGGTACAGTGCCATCATAACTGTGTACGTTTTGGCACTTAGAACTACATCAGTATTACGCACTGATTAAGAAGTGGCCAGCATGTTATGGTGCAGCACTGGAAGTTGCTTGCTATTTATTTGACCACCCTGGAAAGGTGAATTTAACCTGCAGAAAAATAGTTGTTTCAGCAAATTAACTTCACTGTCACAGAATATTTTTCTTAAACTACTGATTTTTTTTTTTTCCCCCTGTGAGGTAACTAGGAAGCTGCCTGCAATCTTTCAGATGAAGATAAAGCAATTTTATAAGTTTGGCTTCGGTAACAAAAGCAATCTCAACTGGAATAAGAACATATAATAGTTTTCAGTAAATTCAGGCGGAACAATGAGTTTCTGCTTTCTTCTGACAAGCAGAGACTGAAAAGCTCTGACATCCACCATTGCTTCTGGTGTTTCTTTGTCTCAATTAGAGAAGTCCACGAGCAGTAGATGTAAGCAGTACACAGACATTGCATCAATCAAATGCATTTTCAAGAAGCGTGAAGTGTGTTTTCAAGTTTGACAATATTCGTCTGTCTTTGCTCTTCCTCCTAAGAAGCAGGCAGCTTTGGCTAGCCTGACACCAAAGGACAAAATCCTCCAAGAAAATGTCCTGCAGCGAGGGAGTCTTTTGAGAACCCAAGAGTCATTCCTGTAAAAAATCTGTTCATCTGTATTTAGATTCAAAAGATACAAGTCATATGGTCACAGTTGCCACTTCTTTGAAATACAGCAACATCTGGCCTCCTACAGTCACGTTCAGGCATGAAATTCTGCCACAGAAGACCAGCTCGCAGGAGCACCATCACTCCAAGACAGAACAGGAAAAAAACCAGTATTTTGGTGGTCATCCTTTTTTCTTCTTCAGGTAGCCCCAAAGAAAATGGTGCAAAGTGTCATTGTCACCCTGTAGATAAGTGATCTCCAGGAAAATGCATTTCTAGCCATCAAGTGAGTCCTTGGTTGGTTGACTGCCATCTGAACACTCCAAATGACTAAATCTGATTAAGTTACAGAAGGTAACTTGGCAGGAGTTCATTCTCTTGTTAAGAAGAAACACCAAGAAACAGTTCAGACAGAAGCACATGCCTACTGGCAAAATAATTAAATGAGTCTGTGTTTGCTAAAGCCAGTTACAGATGAATACCAAATAAATTATGCATTGTTTAACAACCAGAATGGTAAAAACTCACCTGACTCTTGCAAGTATCTATATACCAGGAAGTTAACCTCATCACTGCTTATACTCATCTTTATTCCCAGTTAAACCATGAGGTCACAACAAAGGACACAACCCTGAAAGTAAAAAAGTAGGTCAATTAAATGTTTTTAGTACCTAATATGTATTTCTCGGCAAATGCTATATTTATAAAGTAAGTAGCTCCCTGGCAGCATAGACAATGATTTTATTTTATAATGCAAATAAGTCTACTGTAGTCATTAAAAAGTCATTTGTCTCACCACAACATAAAGGTCAGTAAATTAAATATTGAAGGGCTGGATTCTCAAATGATGCAAATTGGTATGGACTGGGGAGCTATGCTGCTTAATACCAGTACTAAAAAGGCCTAATTTCACAGGTTTTTAAAAAATAACCAAGTGAGCTTCATCTAATCAACATTATTGCTATGGAACACATTTTTCAATATGTGGATTTCTCTCTGCCTGGCTAACAAAGGCCTTGGTTTCATGTTGGTATGCAGGCAAGTTCTCACTTTTACTTTCTACTTCAATTTTCAGGTACTCTTGCTCTAGTAAAGAGGTGCAATATGGGGTACAACACTGTATCTGTTCAAAGAAAGCCCAGCTGTTTCCACTAAAAGTTAGAAAACATCCCAGCCATACAATTATGCTTTGCAAAAGGAATTCTTGAAATTAGTGACAAACTTTAAACAGATGATTTTTAGTTACATTTCTCTAGGCTTGCAATCAATGCTTTAAAAATACTGATGGATATATATACATCATTTTCCCTTTATTTTATTAGTGGTAAATATTTAGCAAGACAAACAATGTATCAGACTATATATATTTTTGATGACAAATTTTGAAAATATGAAGCAACAAGAGTCTTTAAAACACAAAGATGAAGAGACAAATACAGTATTTTTTCTAACTTTAAGCCTCATTTTTGAGAGCATTCTCATGACTTCTGAACATCTAAAAATCCTGATCTTTCCATGACATCTAGCAAACAAGTAAAAACATCAGCTTCCAGAATATAGTATGAAATAAGGTCCATCTCCTGTTTCCAGTATCCCCCCACCACTTTTCATCAGCAGACCTTCAAGGTTTTTACCCAACTGCCCACCAACATCGTTTTCTTCTATGGAACTGGAGTCTGAGAAAGTAAGCGACTTTCCTACTGTTATTCGGCAAAATTTGACCTAGATCTGACATGAAAAAAGGACTAGAGAACAGGTTTTCTTGTACTGTTCAAAATAAAAAGTTCTTGCTACATGGCTGCGTGGTCAGGGCGTTCACCACTTGCTCGAAGTGGGAAAGTGGTGAACACAGCAGTAAGCAACAACTACAAGGTGACGATCGGCTTTATTAGGCTGCCATACATATTCTTTCTAGGCGTCTTTTCCTATCGAGATTTCCCAAGGAAACAGGAGAAAATGACCACACTCTCTTTCTTATCATCTAACTTTTGCATTTTACCAGTCAATTGCAACCAAATTTGACAGTGGGAAGAGGTCTCCAAGATGTGACTTTCCTGTAAGTCCCATAATGTTGTAAAGACCCAATTAAACTCAGGAAGAGGAGAGGCTACAGGATGAACTCGGACATCGAAAGGAGTGTGTTTGCCCGAAACCACACATGAACCCTGGAGAGTTGATGAGCCCATGTACACCCCCCAAACCCACCCCAGCTACGTGGCCACCCACCCAGCTAATAGCTGGGGTTAGGAAGGAGGGCAGCGCGCACTGCCCGCTCAGTTTGGAGAGGGCACAGGGGAAATGACACAGTCCAAGAGTTGTGCAGGGAGGGCTCGGACCCAGCTGGGGCCAGTGGGACCCGAGTGGGAGAGCCAGGGTTATTCTGCATGGGAAACGGGGGGCTGTACACGATGCTGGGCATGTCCACCGAAATCCAGATCTCATGCTTATAGAGCAGCTCGAGCACACTGCGCTGCCAAAGCGGGGAAGATGGCTTTAGTTTCTTAAGAAAATAAATAAAAATGCAGAGCTGCTGAAATCCTTCTAATTTCTAAAGGAAAAAATAATTGCTCCAGTACAATAACTTCTAGCTAGTGCAACACAACTTCTAAAGGTACACTGATACCAACCCTGATACCTACAACTGATACCTACCCCACTCCATCCACAGCCTCCAGCAATGCCTGATGTACAAGGTATACCTGCCAAATTAGAATATACTTTGAAGGCTTGTTTGTTGATCAGTGTGTGAAATTAATGTCATTTTTAGCCATTTCATGCATTAGCAACCAATTCTACCATGTGCAGGACCAAACAGTAATTTTATTCAGCTATGTTTTGTTGTCATGCCTGGTGCGAATCATCTTTATTTAAAACTGCTTGTTAGAGAGACGTTCTGTAGGAAGAGGAACAATATTCTCCTTCAGAAAAAAAAGGTAATTAAATTTAAAAAGCCTCGTAAAGAAGCCTTTTTACGTTACACACACAAACGGTAGTATGTGTTTCATGGGTCTGTTGCTGATTTTTAATATCTTGCTGCACCATCCAAAAAGATAGATCAAAATGCAGAAATCGGATGCAAGTGCTATTTGCTACATAGAGAAGACCTGCATTATTAACATAAAGAGGGCTCCCCACTCAAAGCAGAGTTGTGGAGATGCCACATAAATTCACCTGTTATGTAGCTGGATAGCTAAACAAAAAAAGCTAACATTTTGCTTGTCTGTCAAAAGTGTTATTCACCCTGCCCAAGTCAAATGAGTATCATTTTTCAAGGCTGGTTCAACGTGTTCTCCACAAGATGCTTTGGTAAGGCCAAGTACTGCCACATGCTGTCCTGCCCAGCTATCGAGAGGTGGCAGTGCAACACTGGCTTTTGTACCGTAACAACCAGCAAACTCAATAAATACACCGCTTGCCTGATGAGGACATGAAACTAAAAAGGGTGCAAAAGGTTCCATTTTTTAACCAAGAAATTGCTTTATCTGGGGTTTTTTTGGTGCATATTTAAATTTTCTGAAAACTCCTTTCTGTATTTACCCCCCAATCACAGGCCCAGTCGCTCAGCCAGCGCCGCGGACACAACCATCACCCGGCTATTGCACAGTCAAGGGAAGTGAGGAATTGGGAGAAGAACAAGCCACACCAAACCACCTGCCTTGCCATCCCAAAAGCAAGTTATCACATTAAAGAGAAGATACAGCAGAAGTACAGATAGGAGAGGATACAATAATTATTTCTCTTTGAAAAATTTTGAATTGATGCTGGGCTCGATTCTGGCTGCCGGTCTTACGCTGCCAACCCTCGAAACCAGGGGCAAAGCCAAACATCCCCCAGCAAAGGGCTCTGCAGCATGGCCACCTCCAGCCCCAGGAGCAGACCTTGCAGACAGCTGAAGCACCAGCTCAAAGCTGCGTGAGCCCTTTGCGTGTGATGGGGAAGCTGCTGCTCTTTCCAGCCCTAGGAACCGTGCTGCCTCCCTCCTTCTCGCTCATAGCTTCCTGGGAAGCAACCAGCGGGAATGACCCAAGACAGCAGCAGTGAGGGAATGACAGCGAAAAGAAGCAGAGGTGGGATGGAGAGGGGACCCACCGACCCCAAAACCACCGACCATGTTGCTCTCTGTGCTCGACATACACAGCCACCCCTTCACTTCATGTTGGAAGTTACAACTTGCCAAGGACGTCTGCCAAAGAAAAATAGTAATGGGAAAGAAAATAAACCCGCTAACCTACAAACCACGTGAACTGCTTTTTCCCTAATGCCCAACACAGCCCCAGGGCTCGTTTGGGAGGTGACAGAGAAGATTTCTTAAAAGTGGCATCATGTAAATGGAAATGGAAACATGAATAGAGGAGGAAAGGCTGAAAAGAAGAAAATTAGAGGAGAAAAAAAATTATCTTTATGTATGTACCCATGCACATACACACATACCCCACATACTAACAAATTACTTCATTAATGCCAGTTTATTTCCCCCAAAATCCACTATTTCCACGCGCACTCAACTACTTATGATAGGCACTTAACAGATATCAATACTGCTCTTTATTTTAGATACAGCAATTAAATAACTGAAAAGACGCAGAAAAATGAGCCACATCATTCCTACCAGTCTTGGATTTCTAGCCTAATTTGCAAAGGGCTATTTAAATATCTCAAGATATTTGCACCTATATGTCCCAAATCCATTCTGAAAACGTAACAAGATTCTTGAGGCCCTTTTTTCTGGCCCTTATAAAAATTCAAAGCCTTGCTCAAAACATTCTGTGGATTTACAGGAGACATGGCAAAATACAATGCACCCACACTACTGTTTTAGCTCCAAGTGCACTTTTAAAGGAAATCTCTCCCACTTGCCCCTACTTTTGTTTTGCACCTTGGAGCAGTTGCAGTGCATGTGAAGTAGATTCCTTAACGGTAAAACTAGGATTAAATTTAAAAAAAAAAACAAAAAAACCAAAACACAAACAAACCGAAACCCAACAGGTTAAACCAGGATGTATATGAGGGCTTATGAACTATGCCCAAATTGCTCATGGGCTTCCAGTCCCTGGGACCACACCAGGATCGATATTCACCGCTCAAAACAAAGTCCACTTCAGCAGCCTCTTCTCAGGCTCTCAACCTACACATGTCCCTGCGATGCTCAGCAATGCTGTAGGGCCAACAAAACTGTATTACAGTGTAGGTAACCCACCACCCTGTTCTCCCTCGATCATCCAAAACCACCGAGCCACAGCCACTGGTTATCTGTAGGATCCCCTTCCCCAAGGAGGGGCCTATGGTTTATAACACCACTGTTCAATTAGAATCACGACAGTATCACAATATGCCAGGTAATTTTTAATGTCACTACAGAAAGTCCCTGAACTCCCAAAATTTATTAGGTGTAAAACTTATCAGCCATACAATAAGAGTCAAAGGTCTATACAGATGCTGGCATCAAGATCTACTCAAGAACTAGATGTGCCACGGGTCAGGAACAGACAAGACACACATCTGTGCTTTAGGCAAACTGACCCACTCATTCCCACTCTGAATCCATGCCAGAAATCACACAAAAAGTCATTTGGAAACTACTTTTTCAAAAGGAATTGAGGTTTCTTGTCCTAGACCCAACATATCAACTCTGACATAGC